CTCAAAACCCTGTTTAAGGGGGATCTGTGTCAGCGTGCGCTGGCTGTAAAGGAGCAAGTAAAGTTTAATTCCACGCCGAAAAGCAGGAAGAAGAAACACAACAGTTCAGCTGTCGATCTTCCTGAAAAAGGCTCAGTGGCTGAAGTTGTTTCTTCTTTCTCTAAGTTTCAGCAGGGATTTAGTCTTTACTCGATCATCTTAATCCGAGATGCACTTTGATAGCTGGGTGACCAGGGTCTCTAACCTTATCTTACTCCCAATTAACTGAGAGCCACAGGGGTCCCACCAGCTGGCCAGAGTCCCAGCTGTCCTGGCAAAGGGGCTGCCAGCCACTGTCCTTCTAACCACAGGATCCCCTGTGTCCGAGGGTTTCAGTGCTACACACACCGGTATCACTTCCAGAGCCTTTCAGGAAGAGTGGTTCTCATCTGGCTCTGACAGATGGGTCATTAGGTACAGAACAAAACCTGGTGTCATCAGGCCTCACCCTCAAGCAATGCTTTATATCACCTTATGACCCCCAGTTAATAAAGCATTTTTTCAGTCTGACAATTTCTGGGCATGGAAAATATTTAACTAATGTCAGAAAAGAGGAAGCCTGTCTGCAATACTCCGATGAACAAGAAGCAGAAGCTGACCTTACCGGGAACATTTTGAAGATCTGGATCTTGACTGTGGTGCAGCCCTTCTGCCTGTCGTAGGTGGGCACTGGGAACTGAGCGTTCCGCAGGTACTGAGCGAACAGCACGATCAGGAAGATGGACCTAGAAGGAACCAGCCTCTCGCACATCAAAGCAGACTTTAAGGAAGCCCTGCAATGAGGCTGTGCCACAGGAGACACTGGCGCTCAAGTGCAGACCGGACCTCTCCGGGTCACAGGACAAAAGAGAGGCAGCAAGAACAACAGAGCTCCAGAGGTGCAGGGTTGTGTTGGGCACAGTGCTCGGCATCAAGACCCACAGAAATGCAGATGTAATAAATATTTACAAAGACTGGAGCGATACACTGGAATGTATTTAAAATACAATTTTAACAATAATTATACTTATTCTAGTCAGTCAATGTACATTTTAGTCACACAAACATCAGAATGTGTCTGAAATAGTAATTAATTAGGTTAATGTAAAAATGCCTATTGGTATATCGCAATATCCTGTATCAAAAATATAATTTTATATACTTGCACAGTGTATTCCTTCATGCATCTCATCTGTACCATAAGCACCACCACCAAGGGAACTAGAGACAGTTCAACCACAGAACATCAAACTGCATTGATGCACAAAAACATTTGGTGGTCCAAATATCAGGACCCTGTAGCCAGGTGTACTCAGGAGTGGGCAACACTGGACTCGCACCCTGACCAGAACAGTGGCCAGACCCCATTCCCACTGAAAACAGGTGGAACCAGATTTCAAACTATCAGCAAGACAGTTTCTTACAATCGACACGGTAGCACTCCAGCGCTCTTCCTGTGAGTCAATTGCTCCCACACGGCCTTCAGGGACTAAACATGACGTTAGGAGTGAAAGCTGTGAATCACCACACAACCAGCAAGCTAAACACCGCAGCAGCACTGGTCCGGCAGACTCTCGCGACCATACTCACAGCAGGGAGAGGCCCCAGTGAGAGCCGGCTCTGTCCCCCGCTGCCTGGAACACCGACAGGCCGATGAGGGACACGGTGGGCGTCACGGTCAGAGGCCCGATGTAGCGGAGCAGGAGGCCTGGAACCCCGAGACAGCCAATGAGCACCTCCACCAGGCTGGACACGATGATCGCCCCCTGGATCTGGACAGGAGAGGAAGGACCCGAGCTCAGACACCACGAGACGGGCCAGGACCAGGACTGACAGCAGGAAGAGGGGACGCGCACTGGAGCAGCTCACCTCTCGTATCCTTGGATGCCAGATGTGGGAGGTATTCAGGGGCAAGCTCCAGTCCCCGTAGATCTCCTCTGAAACACAGCACAGGTCACAAAGAGAGGACCAGACACGCCCAGCCTCGGCACGCATTTGACTGTGATATATTGCAGCAAAAAGGAATTTACTCCTCCTGCTAGAAACTGAAAGGGCACGTTCCGGGAGTTCCTGAGCTTTGTTGTATGGCTCAGAATATCGCTGCAGATTAACTCTACTACAGATACAGCTGTGGTCAAAATATCCAGAATTTACTAAAGTGGATTTGCGCCAAGCCAAAAAAAAACAAAGCATCTCCTGATCTCTCCCTGACTCTGTGACACCAGCTCATATCAAACAAGCCTTTGTGAGGATTGCAATTGATTGATACTGCTATTACACACACAGGTGAAGCAGTTTACTATCCTTGTGGACTACATACAGTATATAAAATTACTCAGGAAGGTAGCTGCATCAGCCTGCATAGGCTGCAGAGGAACAAGTAATAGGTTTATTCCATGCTGAAAAAAGAAGA